GAGAGTGTAGAGGCATGGCGAGAGGTACTGGGGTGTGTTACCAGTCCGGTCCGGCCCGTTCCTGATCCCCGCACAAGGCCAGTGGTGTGTGTTCACAGTACGGTCCGGCCTGTTCCTGTCCCTCGCACCAAGCCTGTGGTGCGCGTCGCCAGCCCGGCCCGGCCTGTTCCTGCCCCTCGCACCAAGCCTGGGGTGCGCGTCGCCAGCCCGGCCCGGCCTGTTCCTGCCCCTTGCACCAAGCCTGTGGTGCGCGTCGCCAGCCCGGCCCGGCCTGTTCCTGCCCCTCGCACCAAGCCTGTGGTGCGCGTCGCCTGCCCGGCCCGGCCTGTTCCTGCCCCTCGCACCAAGCCTGTGGTGCGCGTCGCCAGCCCGGCCCGGCCTGTTCCTGTCCCTCGCACCAAGCCTGTGGTGCGCGTCGCCAGCCCGGTCCGGCCTGCTCCTGCTCCCCGCACCAAGCCAGTGGTGCGCGTCGCCAGCCCGGTCCGGCCTGTTCCTGCTCCCCGCACCAAACCAGTGGTGCGCGTCGCCAGCCCGGTCCGGCCTGTTCCTGCTCCTCGCACCAAGCCAGTGGTGCGCGTCGCCAGCCCCGGTCCGGCCCTGTTCCTGCTCCCCGCACCAAGCCAGTGGTGTGCGTCGTCAGCCCGGTCCGGCCCGTTCCTGCTCCCCGCACCAAGCCTGTGGTGCGCGTCGTCAGTCCGGCACAGCCCGTGCCTGTTTCACCGGTGCCTGGTCAGGTACCGGTCAGCTGCTCCACACCGGAGCCTAAGCAATCCGCTCCACCGATGTCCAGTCCAGCTCCAGCCAGTGGGACCAGACCAGGGGCGCTATGGGGGGTTAGTTAGAGGGTGGTGGTCACGCCCAGAGCCGGATCCGCCTCCGAGGCGGAATGCCCACCCGGCCCCTCCCCTGTTGGGTTTAGTTGGCGCGGTCGCAGTCCGCGCCTTTGGGGGGGGGGGGGGTACTGTCACGCCCTGGCTCTGGGGACTTTTATATGTTGAGCCAGGGTGTTAGTTTCTATGTGTTAGTTTCTGGGTGTTAGGTTCTATGTTTCGTTTTCTATGTTATTGTTCTAGTTTATGTGTTTCTATGTTGGCCGGGGTGGTTCCCAATTAGAGACAGCTGTGGCTCGTTGTCTCTGATTGGGAACCATACTTAGGCAGCCTGTTGTGCACTTGTCTTTTGTGGGATCTTGTTCCGTGTAGGTTTGTGTTTATGACCGAGGACTTCACGTTTCGTTTTGTTGTTTTGTTATTGTTATAGTACTCAATAAAAGATGTACGCATTTCACGCTGCGCCTTGGTCCACTCATTACGACGATCGTGACAGGTGGGCTAATTTCAGATGGGCTGTGTACAGGTGCAGTGATCGGTAAGGTGCTCTGACAACTGATGCTTAAAGTTAGTGAGGGAGATAAGAGTCTCCAGCTTCAGAAATGTTTGCAGTTCGTTCCAGTCATTGGCAGCAGAGAACTGTAAGGAATGGCGGCCAAAGGAGGTGTTGGCTTTGGGGATGACCAGTGAGATATACCTGCTGGAGCACATACTACGGGTGGGTGTTGCTATGGTGACCAATGAGCTAAGATAAGGCAGGGATTTGCCTAGCAGTGATTTATAGATGGCCTGGAGCCAGTGGGTTTGGCGAAGAATATGTAGTGAGGACCAGCCAACAAGAGCGTACAGGTCACAGTGGTGGGTAGTATATGGGGCTTTGGTGACAAAACGGATGGCACTGTGATAGACTACATCCAATTTGCTGAGTAGAGTGTTGGAGGCTATTTTGTAAATGACATCGCCGAAGTCAAGGATCGGTAGGATAGTCAGTTTTACGAGGGCATGTTTGGCAGCATGAGTGAAGGAGGCTTTGTTGCGAAATAGGAAGCCGATTCTGGATTTAACTTTGGATTGGAGATGCTTAATGTGAGTCTGGAAGGAGAGTTTACAGTCTAACCAGACACCTAGGTATTTGTAGTTGTCCACATACTCTAGGTCAGACCCTTCGAGAGTAGTGATTCTAGTAGGGTGGGCGGGTGCCAGCAGCGTTCGATTGAAGAGCATGCATTTAGTTTTACTAGTGTTTAAGAGCAGTTGGAGGCTACGGAAGGAGTGTTGTATGGCATTGAAGCTTGTTTGGAGGTTTGTTAACACAGTGTCCAATGAAGGGCCAGATGTATACAAAATGGTGTCGTCTGCGTAGAGGTGGATGTGAGAATCAACAGCAGCAAGAGCGACATCATTGATATACACAGAGAAAAGAGTCGGCCCAAAATTTAACCCTGTGGCACCCCCATAGGGACTACCATAGGTCCAGACAACAGGCCCTCCGATTTGACACATTGAACTCTATCTGAGAAGTAGTTGGTGAACCAGGCGAGGCAGTCATTTGAGAAACCAAGGCTATTTAGTCTGCCAATAAGAATGCGGTGGTTGACAGAGTCAAAAGCCTTGGCCAGGTCGATGAAGACGGCTGCACAGTACTGTCTATTATCGATCGCGGTTATAATATCGTTTAGGACCTTGAGCGTGGCTGAGGTGCACCCATGACCAGCTCGGAAACCGGATTGCATAGCGGTGACTCTTATGAACTATCTTCCCTTCCTTATCGCTGACCAGCGTTGGGCCAGTAACCGAAAAGTTGCTAGTTCACTGGTTCGAATCCCCGAGCCGACTAGGTGAAAAACAATCAGTCAATTTGTCCTTGAGCAAGGCACTTAACCCTAATTTCTCCAGGGTCGCGGTCAATAATGGCTGATCCCTGGCCATGACCCCCACTCTCCGAGGGTTTCTCAGGGGGAGCGGTATATGCACAAAACACATTTACAATTCCCACCACACACTTATACAGGTTACACACTTGTACATGTGTAAAACAGGACAAATATAAGCACCCCCTATTTGACCTTTTGTTTGATGACCAGTGATATAGAACCAGGTTGGAGATGAGAGAAAACATCAAGACCTTTCACCTTCCAGGAAAGGATAGAAGAAGAAACAGCCATTTTAGTGCTCAGTCCTAGTCCACATGCAGCATACAGGTACCTCTCCCTGCCTCTTACCTCTTATTACCCTTGAGACTCTTGGTAATCTCTCTATTTCTATCTCCTTCTCTCTCACACTCTTAGAGCCTTCTCCGGCCTAGCTCCAGGAACGAATCACGTACAACCTGTGTACACAGAGTCCTCGGTTCCCAGTGAACTTAGCAACGCGTGTTTGTGGGTAGACAATAAAAGGATCCGTGGGTTGCCTCTGTCCTCGTCGCTGTTTCCTTTCATGTTCTCTTCCTACGAGGTCGAGTCACCTCACTACACTGTATCTAAACCCTCCTCGGCTCGCCTGTCAAAAATAGACAACAAAGTGGCTTGGATGAAAGGAAAAGGACCATTTCTATAGAATGTTCAGCTCTGAGATACTGAACAATTGTTATACTGCATTCACTAGGCTCGAGATATCGAGAAAAGTGGAGGATAAGATGCATAGCGATGACAGTGCAGTACTCGATTGTCTTGCACTTTCCCTTGTCACTCAGCTTGATAGTTGCTGAAGTGGCTCTGATGGTTTCACCTTCCAAAGAGCTCCAGACATCACCAATATCGACCTTTGGAGTAAGCATCTAATGGGCCTGTGGTCAGGCGCCTTTGGGTGAAACTTGGACCTCTACGCATCATCTTCAACATGTTGTCCTTTTGCTGAACTGTGGAATGCTTCATTAGGATGCCACACCACACCAGTATGGGCTTCATGCCTGCTCCTGGACAAGCCCCTGAGAGAAAAGTCTCTCTGTCTGTCTGCCCGGGGCTATCCTGTCTGTCTGTCTGTCTGTCTGCCTGTCTGTCTTCAGCACTGTTGAGGGGAATTAAATCCTCTATTTATCAGGACCTCTATCTGCTGCTAGTGGTGCAAACTGGGGACTGACCAGGGAAATATGCCAGGAGCCACTGCTCAAATAGCGTCTACTGTCAGTCTACCGCAGCAGTGGCACTCCAACAGCAGGTTCAGCACTAGATGTTATCTCTCTTCCTTCTTTAAGCTGATGTGATATGAAAGGCACTCTTAAGATGGAAAGGACGAGTTTTAGGATAATCCTACTACCTAAACTCCCTTGTTAAATGCACAATGTGTGTGTGTGTGTGTGTGCCTGCGTGCATGCCTTAGTGTGCTGACTGGCACCGATGCACCCCACAGTGTCTTTCTGTCTCTTTTAACAAGGAGGTGCTGTGTTCTCTCCCTGCCCCCACAGCTGTTTGGCCTGACTGCCCTCAACTAAAACAGCTGACATGTTTCCCCTTGATAATAGTGAGTTAGATGTCATATTGTCTGTGTCATGCTAATAATAGTGTGTAGAGAATTGGTGGGTCATTGACAGTGCACTCATGTAAATAATCTCAATATGGTCTTATTTTATTATGACACATCTAGACTGTGATTCCAAAGGACCAAATGAACTAGAATTTGTCTTACAAAATTGATAAAAGTATTATAATATAATAAAATCAATGGGGATACATTTTGCCAGAAATACTAGGCTTAATGGACCAAACAGTAACTATACAGCCTTACCTTCAAAATGCCTCGTGCAAGTGATGCATAATCATAAAACATTAAAAATAAATCGATTTACTACTGACATCTTCTGGTAGAACAAGCCACACATCTCTGTGGGTAAATTCATTATCTACACCACAAGGGGGAGTCCTTAAAACACTAAAAACTGTTCACGAACGAACACAACCTTGAGCGCAGCAGCCTGTCCTTTGCGCCGTTGTTTTTCTTGCCTATAAAAACAACGACTGTGGCTAAAAAGTAACGGCCAACAGCCAACAAAATGTTAAAAGCACTGTGGCTCTAAATATGCATATGGTGCATGCAATTGCGTATTCAGGGGGATATTAGACTAACACCCAAATTTTTTAATCCCCCCTTTCCTAAATCTCAGCAGTTTGAGTTCCCTAATTCCCTTCCCCCTCTTTTGAGAGGGGAACACGATGAGCAGAGTCTTTGGAATGTGTGCAGCAGCTGCTACGTCATCGCGGTCTCTCCAGTTTCACTCCATCAGTAGAAATCGCAAAGCTTGAGTCTCCTGGAAAAACCGTTTTTATGGACTTTAAAAACGTTGCGGACGGTACGTTTGACTTCTAACTAAAACTTAGAATTTGATCAGAATGTTATTGATTTTATGAGATAAACTCAAAAGGCACATGCAAATGAAGTCCATGTTCAACAAGTTCGTTTGCGGCTAAATTAAATATCCGTTAAACAATTAGCTAGCTAACTTATCTAGCTAGCTAGCTGACAGTAGAAGTACTTACGGACTGAACTCAACTCCATTTTGGAAAATACAGATGTGTTGGCTAGTTAATTTACCGGTTGCTATTTTGCTAATGTTTACAAAAGAAACGTTACTTAGCTAGCTAAAGAACAACAACGCTAGTAACTATTATAGCTTAGTTACATTTATTGCTAGGTAACTAACTAATCATTTTATGTTGCTGAAATTAGCTAACTGTATCCGTGGAACTGAAGTCCAAGCCATGGACAACAACATGCTGAGTTTTCAAAATCCAAAAACGATTTCTCCACATGCGTTCTGTTCTTTTGTTGGGCTCAACTTGTCCCAACTTGAGCTGTTGAAGCACAGTGCCCGTAATTTGAGAGGGGCAGCCAGTAGTGGGTGATGCAGAAATCTAGCTTCCAAAGAAGTTAGCTACCAATCAATCAATCATATTTATTTTGTTATTTTCTTTGACAATACATTAGTCTACATTTGATCTGGGGGGGGGGGAAATACACATATCAGATCCGTGACTTCACAAAAACATTAAAAACATCCAGTTCGCGAGGATGCTGTTGATGCTGCAGTCGCGTGCATTATGGAATCATTTAGGATTGTTTAGGTGCAATATTTTGATAACATGTGTCTCCCCAGGGAGCCCGTAAAGTGGGACGCGCCGGTCTGTCTCCATGGTGATCGAGAGGACGCCATGCCTCGGTGTCGCGGCGTACAGCTGAAGGGGGCGTGCACCAATAGGAAACGACTACTCGTTCTCTGTGTTCAATCTCATAAAGGATGGTAAGGACATCACGGCGTCGACTCGACATCAGTAGAATTGGGTAGATTACCGTCGAATACGTATGTAATGCTGAGCCTTTTTGTGTCATCATACGGTTCATTCATGTTCTAAGTGGTGGAATCCTTGCTTTTTTTCTTCCATATTCTCCAATCTGTGTTCATGCTCTTGTTATATTGCTATGATACTTGCAGAAGGTTTGTTTCTCCCTGACCTTGATTGAGATGCTGCTTTTCTAATCTGTAGCACACAATAATCTCTTCATTGTTGTCTGTCACAAAAAAAAGAATAACCAAGTATAAATGTCTTGTCTTTTTCAGCCATTTTACAATAACGTCTATTACCCGTACCAGCCAGAGACCCAAGGGACCCACTCATCAGCTGGGATCCCCTCCCTCCTAAACTCCCCCCTGAGCCAGCCCTCCTCCAGCAGCCGGTGTCCTCCAGCACCACCACCAGCCATGTCTGCCTCCACATCCACCACCATCCCGCCCTTCAAATTCCGGCCGCGGCGCGAGAGCGTAGACTGGCGCCGGATCAGCGTGGTGGACGTGGACCTGGTGGCCAGCGAGCTGGACTTCCAGACCCTGCAGGAGCACATCACAGGGGTGACCTTCTGCAACGTGGAGGGAGAGCGTTGTGTCCGCTGCCAGAGCCCCGTGGACCCGGCGCTGCTCAAGCTCTTCCGCCTGGCCCAGCTGACAGTGGAGTACCTGCTGCACTCCCAGGAGTACCTGACCCTGAGCCTGGGGGCGGCCGAGGAAAGGCTGCAGACCCAGGCCCGCGAGCACCAGCAGCTCCTGGCCCAGCAGCAGAAGCAGGCGGACCAGGCCAAGGCACTGAAGACGGAGCTGAAACAGAGGAAGAAAATCATTGCCCTCAACCAGCAGGCTATGATCAACATGACCAATTGCCATAAGGTACTGAACACCTCCTCACACTGCACGCTTCTTCTCAGTGTCGGTTTCCATTTGCATTGTACAACAGTCAGTCCCCCCACCCCCCTTCCTCCTGGGTCCCCCTCTTAGCCATTGTTCCCCAGGTGGTATTCAGAGCTGCTTTAGCTTTGTTCAATTGTAATTGTCAGAAAAGTGAGAATGCTAACAGGAGGTAATCTTTGTACATATCTACCTCAATTACCTCGTATCCCTGCACATCAATTCGGTACTGGTACCCCATGTATAAAGCCAAGTTATCGTTACTCATTGTGTATTTATTCCTTTAAAACATTTTCTCTGCATTGTTGGGAAGGGCCCATAAGTAAGCATTTCAGTTAGTCTGTTAGTCTACCTATTGTTTATGAAGCATGTGACAAACACAATTTAATTGGATTTGGTTAAAATTAATTATTACATTTAAATCAGATACATAGTATTGGAAATAGGTTCACCTCGTACTGTAGCTGTAATGTGGCCACTTTATAAGGATTGGTATACGTAGTCATTATCAGCCTTGTTTTGGGACCTAAACAATAGGATTGTGCTCTGAGCAGATGGCGTCAGCTGGTGATAATTAGACCTACTTCTTTTAATCCACTTACAAAAGGGTGGCAAGAGCCGTAACCAAAATGACTGAACCACACCCCCCCACACCCTCATTCATGTTTCCATAATGACATTGGTCTCGTGTCAACAGGACGTTTTGATGTTCTTCTATTTTCTGCTCCAGAATTACCTTTGTTTCCACATTGAATGTATGCATTTATTGTACAGATGTAGAATAGAAGGAGATATCCTTATATTTTTTAATGGCATTGCTGTTGACCAGGGCCCAGCTGTTGCCAAGGCAACACCTAGTGTTTCATATGACTGAGCATTGTTGCTAGGTGAGAGTGCCCTCCCCGGCTAACAGGCGTGTTGATAACCGAGGCGTCAATTATTGATGGACCACCATGCATCTAAAAATAGACCTAGATGTGTTGATTGTTTCACACAGGTACTCAAATGTTTTGCATCAAGCTACATTTACAGATACAGAGTGTATCTGATACACAGTATCTAGCCTAATTGTCTGCAAAGCACAGAAATGTTGCCTAAATTGTAGTACTTTTATCATTCAAGAAACGTACTGCCTATTTCAGCCTGTGTTGTTAATGCAATCTAGAAAATGAAAGTTTTAGTCAGCTTTTATTTTTACTGTCTCACACATCAAGACACAGCAAACGGATGCCAACAGATACACAACTGCCTTGATTCTATCAATGACCAGACCTAATTCAATTTCACTAGCGATTTCCAAAGTTATTCCAGAGCAGCAATGCAATTACACAACACAACAACAAGGGTCTCTGTTGTAGGAACCACCACTTCCCCTGCAGCATAGTAGAGCACCAGCACGCGGTGCAACAAGGTATCGGTAGCAGTGCGGTTAAATTTGAATGAAGGCACAGATGCAGGCTGTGTTGGTGTCGGGCGTTAAATGTGGCGTGTGATGTGGTTGCTCCAGCGTTTAATCTGCCCTGTCTGTGACTCCCCCTGTGAGCTGGAGCGAGGTGACGCCAGGCATACGGGGTGTATCAAGTCACTCACGCTATGAAGATCTGTCTCCCATGAAACAGTCACTAAAGCTTATTGGTAGATGGTATAGTCACTATGTAGATCTGTCTCCCAAGAAACAGTCACTAAAGCTTAATGGTAGATGGTATAGTCACTATGTAGATCTGTCTCCCAGGAAACAGTCACTAAAGCTTAATGGTAGATAGTATAGTCGCGGCTTGAGCTTTGGGTTCAGATGTGTTCATCTTTTACACACAGCCCAAGTTGCCTATTACGAAATTGGCCTTACATTTGATCTATAAGTGAAGGTAGCAAACAACATGTATTCAGACCATTGATTCATTGCAATCTTTGCATGAAAAACTTTGCAAGTTGCCATGGGAATGTACTGTAGATGAATAATTACATTTCTTTTTCTTTTCCTTTAGTGTCAACATTGTGATAAAGCCTTCATGAATTCCTCCTTTCTCCAGAATCATATGCAACGTCGCCATCCAGACGAGTACGACAGCCGTAAGTCAAGAGAGCTTTAAAAGGTTTGATCATCAGTTTAAAGAGAACGGTAGGGAAAGTAAGGTAAGAAGGTTTGATGCAGCCAACCGCCCTGTCTCCCCTGACAGTCCCATAGGGTCCCAATGGTATGGGTGTCCCCAAGCTCACCACAGTGTTCCTACAAGGCCGGAAAACCAGTTCCTATGACATCCCAGTCTAGTTTGCAGCAGCAGTAGACATGTCATTCACTCCCACACAGTCTAGCAGAAAGAGAGAGATTTATCTTTGAGCCCGGCCCTGAAACAGCAGTTAGGCTATCTTTTTCTTCATGAGTATGTCTCTGTAATTGTCTCTCTCAGAGTTAAGGACAGGCAACCAGAGGAAAGTGAAGAGCATTGCCGATGAAGAGGAGATCAGTCGGCTGAAAGGGCAGCTGAGTAAGACCACATCTGAGCTGGAGTCACAGAAGCAAGCCCTCTTGGCCAAGGCCTCTCAGGTGGGACAATAGGAACCGTGCTTGTTTCCATGGCGTTGATCAGCTTCGTTATTGAATGCAATGTTTGCACTTTTGCATTTCTTTAGAGGTTTTGACCATTTTCATTCCCTTTCATCTGTAGGAAAGAGACCAGCAGTCCATGCACCAGGATTGGATGAGAAAGCTAGAGAGATGGAAGGAAGAAGAACACAGGAAGATAGAGGAGATGAGAGACGGTTTCCGGAGGGAGATAGAGATGCTTCACAACCAGAACGCTCTTCTTCAACAAGTTAGTCCACTACTCCATTTGTCAAAGCACTGACTTTCATGGTTCTGTGTCCAATTCAAACTGATGCGTTGGTGATTTGGTGCTGTAAGTCAGCGAGGTTTTTGTTTGATGGGATCTGTACAGAAAGTGGACCTCCAGAGGACCAATCCTGAGAGGAGGCCCAGTCCTGCTCCCCAACAGACTGACCAAGACATGGATGAGAAAAAACAAGCTTGTGGTCCAGAAGATGGATCAGAAACACAGGAAACTGGTAAGCAGCTAAGCAGTGCTTCTTATCTTTAAATAATTCAAGTTGTGATAAAAACATTGATCAACAATTTATTTTGTTACAGGAGGAAAGGTTTACATCAAAAATTGAAAAAATGAAGGCTAACCATGAGAGCGAAAAGAATCAGGTAAGATATGGATGACGTATCTGTGACGTTTTCATGAAGAACACTGGTTAACAGAACTACTTGTGAGTTCTGTTGAATAGTTCATTAAAGGTCATCAGAGAGCCTTGAAAGAGGCTGTGTGCTCTCTAACATCTATGTCTGTCCTATGTCTCTTCTCAGTGGCAGGATCAGTTTAGCAGGTTGGAGTCGTCTGTGGTGGAGTGGCAGCAGCAGAGCCAGAGGCAGAAGGAAGAGAGTGGCCAGCGGCTTCAGGAGCGGGACCTAATCATCCTCTCTCAGAGAGAGCAGGTCAGTTCACTCACCACCGGGGCAGCTGGGAATATGAGGAAACGAGGCGCCTGCTCGGCCCTCATACAGGAAATCCTGGATTGACGGCGCCGGATGGACGTGTCATGTTTTCATACGCTCATATAGTGTAGTCGACAGGGCCGCTCTGACTTCATAAGCATGTTAAGGAGTTCACTTAAATTAGATTACGCCATTGGGGTTCAACAGCAGGGGTTGAATACAAAACATAAAAAATATATATAATTTAAGAAATGTAGCTAATTGTACTGCTTCATTTCACAGATTAAGCACATGTCCTCAAATCCACCTACTAAAGTAGTTGAAGTTCCAGGTATGCATACATTTTCTTTGACTTTATTTTTTTTATTACTATGTTTATATTTGTGGAATTTGGATATTAGCTTGAATTTGGACATTAGCTTGAATTTTGATATCTTGAACTTGGATATTAGCTTGAATTTGGATATTAGCTTGAACTTGGATATTAGCTGTTTGTAGTTCTGTAAATAACCTGTTATTACAGACTATTGTTCCTACTTTGTATGTTTCAGTGATCATAACAGCCCCAGCACCAGAGCCTAAACCAAAGAGAGTAGTGAATGGTAAGTTGTTAGCAGGAGATTCTAACAACTTAGCTCAGTCAATCTAGACATCTGCATCCTTTTGTTTAGAGAAAAGGTATGCTAGCATGTAACCAGACTGTTCTGTCAGCGATCTCTCTCTCTGTTGATCAGACCTCCCAACTAGACACCATTAGAGATCAATGTTATAGTGCCCTCTACCTGAGTTCCCTCCTCCTAATTCCCACTCTTGTCTGACCTCTGACCCCCTGTGCTGTCCAATCAGAGCAGCCTCCCTCTGCTCCTAAACTGGATCCTATAGAGGAGCTGTCTGAGGAGGACAAAGGTAACACAGTCTAGACGGCAGCAGCAGCGTCTGTCTGCTCGATGCATGCTCTCTGCATGGACGTCTCAGTCGGTTTGTGATGCCTGCCATGTAGTCAGTCGAGTCAGTCAAAGCCACATTGGCCCAAAAAAGCATCAAGATGTTATCCTCCTCTGCCTGTCCCTCTGCAGAATCCTGTGGCTGTTAGCTGCAGTTACATCTATGGCACGGGTCAATGTAGATGGAAGAAGGGAAGCTGATATGCACCTCTCTCTCTCTCTCTCTCTCTCTCTCGCTCTCTCTCTCTCTCTCAAATCATTTTCATGCTTGCCCGGCCTGTCCTCTGAAACTACAAAGGCGTCAGTGTTATTTTGAGTGTGTTATCAAGTAGACTATTGAGCTACTAAGTGTATGTGTGTAACTGTTCTGTACCTGTCTGGTGCTTGTCATAGACTGGTCCAGCGTGTCTGAGAAGAAGCCTGTTGTTGTAAAGAAGCAGCCGTCTCCTGTGACCAGTGTCCTGAGGAAGAACCCCAACATCAAGAGGGAGCTGCGTCCCGCCCTGGAGCAAGCACTCCTAGAGAAGCTTGAGTCCCTGGGAGTCAAACCTGTACGTACTGTACCTTCATGAGTACACAAATACACAAGTGCACCTTTTAACATCACACTCTGTAGAAGATCTATGCCGTCAAAGAGTGAGCCTGACAGAGCCACCGTCAAAAACGTAAAACAAATTGCCTTCGCTAATAGACTTGAGGGATCATTTGTTTCCCCAGTAAAGAGAATCATTTTGATAGTTAAACGTTTTCCATTTTCTAATCTACACAACTCTGTAGGGGCTGAGGGGACTCCGAGCCAGCGAGTACAGTGATATCATGGCTAAGGTGCGCTCGGAGAGAGAGAGTGCGGCGAGGGACATTCCGGACTACTGGCGTCACCGTGAGGATGTGACTCACACACTGCGTCTGAGACTGAAGGACAAGAGGACGGGGAGTGACTCTGCCCCCGAGCAGCGGGTCAAACCCAAACAACCCACTCAAGGTACATGTGGGGAGTATGATGTCTTAGAACTTTTAACTCATTCCAGAATGTTAATGTGGTTTTTGCTGAGGGGTTCAAACCAAAGACACATTTCAACTCGTGGGTCTATTCCATTCTCTTGTGATAGTTTTCTGGCATGCTGCTGGTGACATAAAAAAAGTCCCCCCTAATCAATGTAACATTTAAGCCATAAGCCTTAAGCTCCTCGCAACATGAGTCATCTTCGTCACCATTTTAACCTACTGAGGCCTTGAGACGTCCTCAAACTAACTAATCAGCTAACTGCTGTTGTTGTTCTGTCCCTCCATACAGTGACCCAGGCCAGACAACGGTCCAGCAGCCTTTCCTCCAAGGTGACCCAAGTGATGTCAGGACCACCAGCAGCGCCTGCCAAACAGCTGCAGACGACCCCCCAGCCTGCCCCCCGGACCCTTACCAGTACCCTGCCCAAGACCACCCTGCCCAAGACCTCCACTCCCAAGTACGTACCTAGTCAGAATCTCCTGCTGTTTGTCTTAATGCATGCCAGATAGACACCATGTCTAAAGAGACTACCTCACCACTGGCTTCATTTATGTGGTATCAGTTTCTTATCACGCCAAAGATATCGGGGTACATAGTCTGTTGCATTGAGAAGGATACCATAGAAAGTTAGTTGTCTTATAAGCTGTCTCTTATTACCTTATAAGGAAGTGATTGATTGTATGTTCTTTTCAAATGATGATATTGCCTTTGTCCTCATAGGACCCCTCCCTTCAGCTCAGACGACGAGTCATCATCAGAGGAGGAGTCTGAGGAGGAAGAGGAGGAGGAGCCACCTCACAAACCCAGACAGGAGCAGAGAGTCCCTCATCACGGAGCCTCCCAGCCCAAACCAACACAACCCAAGACCACCCCCCATCACAAACTCACCCAGTCCAAACCGGTCCAGGCCAGATCAAGCCAGCCCAAACCGGTCCAGCCCAGGACCACCCAGGCTCAGCCATCTAAACCCCAGCAGCCCAGAAGCACTGCGGTCAACACGACCAAGACGGCAGTCACTGTGGTAGAGAGCGAGGGAGAGTGGACAGAGGGGAGTGAGTTGGAGGAGATCGACACACAACAGCTCCAGAACTACAAAGACCAGAATGGGAACGTACAGAAGACTACAAACAGTAAGAGGGACTTTTGTTGTTTTTACTGCTGGTTTACTCCTTTGTGTGGTATTAAGTGCTCATTTCAGATAACAACACACATGCCCCAAGTCTGCAGCCTTTTCTTTTTTAATTGTGTGTGTATTGATAACTGTTGCCATATGTTTTTATGTGTTGTGGTGACCATATTTGTCTTTCCAGATAACCTGGTCAAGGACTTGACTAAGAGCCTGGAGAAGCAGCTTGCAGACAGAGGACCAAAAAAGCCACTAGGGGGAGTGAGCACCTTACCAGAGTGGAAAGACAAAGATGTTGTACGGGAACTCAAGGTGAGAAATCCTCTCTAGTCTCCTCTCTGCAGTGTCATCATCAACTCAGAGTAACATAAGACCGAGAGAACAAACAGAAAATGTGCGGACGTCAGAATGTTCCCATTACCTTTAGTATCACACACTGTAACTGGAGCTTGTCCAGCTAATCATGTTATGTGGTGTTTCAGTATACAAACGAGGAAGATGAGGATGACTGGGATATCTCCTCGTTGGATGACCTATCGGTATCCGCCCCCGTGGGCAAGCCCACCGCCCCCGTGAGGAAGAGCCTGGACTCAAACAGCACTACCAGTGTCTGGGGAACCTCCACTGGGAAGGGACAGAAAACAGGTCAGTCTCACTCACTCTCACAGCTCCGGCTCCATTCAGGTCCCTTTATCCTTCACCTTCAGCCACTGATGATGTTTATCCATTCCCCAGGTCTGAATGAAGCAGGAACCGGCAGCACTCTGAAGAGCAGCCTGGTCTCTGTCAGCGACTGGAGTGACGATGATGTATAGCATTATGGAGGTGATACGGGTTTACAGTTCTAGAATGATAAAACTCAATATGATGTCCATAGGAATGATTTGGAAGACAAATATACTTATACATGATTTACGATGCTGTTAGAATATCACTATATCATATAAAAGAGACTTAACAAAGAGATCATCTATCTCTGCTCAGGACACAGTGTATCTATAGAGATATACACCTATGACAGTGGTAGCCATCTGCCTTGTGGCAGTTTTCAGTGTTTTTATTTAATATAAAGATGATATATTAGCTATAGATAATTGTCACCTTAGAGGTTTTATGAAATGTGATATTGCACTCCATGTGAGGTACTTGTATGATTTGTGTCAAAACAATTTACATTAAATGTGTAAGACATTTGTGTGTCCTATGAAAGAACAGGTCAGAAAATGTGTTTTTGTATATAAAATATTTATACATGCTATACAAGCAATAAAACATTTTTTAAAATTCAAATGAAAACTTTAATCTCTTTCCTTAATGTCAATTCAGTTCAAAATGTTCAAAGGAAAACAGTGTAAACGGAACACAGTTATATGTTAGTAAAACAGTCATACAAAGGGTATCTTCAAGGTGTAGGTGGTGAGACAGTTACCAAATCAAATTGATTCAGTTCCTACAATGTTTTCATGGTATCTAACGACCAATGATATGAAGCAGTGTATTTCCTGCAGCACAGGAGCTACTGCAGCTCACAAAAAATCGTCCCTGCTATATGTCCTAGTTGTCCTGGTCTTCCTGCCGGCTCTGCTCTCTTGGAACAATTGTGGCATTGGAGTCACTCTGGAAGAGTTTGGCATCATGTATGTGCGTCTGGTCTGAGCTGTGGCATAGGATCTAGGTCTGCGGGGCCTTTTCTTTGAACTGGAAGACGGAGCAAGAGAATTGTGAGATGATGAACGAATTCGACACAAAATATATTCCTCTGATGCAATCTATTGTCTGAGTGAAGCAGGAATTTTGTGGAAGGTATTACGTCGAGCGTAGACCCTCCTTTCCAGAGAAGAAACTGAGTACGAAACCACCGGTGATGAGCAAGAGCGAGCCTCCCCAGCCAATAAAAACCGCTGCTCCGATTTCAAATCTGAAGAGCAAAAATGAGAATGCATATACTGTATACTTAACTACTTGAAACCAATGTTGTTCTAGTGTGTTCCAACAGTCTCACTGAAAATGATCCACTCACTTCTGTGCCTTGAAATTCGGATCCACAAACTCTGATCTTACTTTGTTACCCCACAAGGAGTACACAATCAGGCCAGCAAATCCTAGGAGGAAAACGGCTATTATCATCATATCACTAATCACTTCGGTTACTAATCAAGTACTCCATAAACATATCTTACCAGACGTCAGATAGGTGATTCCCCCGGCGAAGGTGACCCGTGCGTTGGCGAGCTCTGACCCTCCAATCTTGGTGCATTTCATCCCTATCAGTGTGAGGACTCCAGCGAAGAACCCAAGGATGACAGAACAGATCGACAGAGCCCTAACCGCGTGGAGGAACACTGATGCAGAGAGTAGAACACTCAGTTAAACAGAGGAAGCTACAGTACAGGACTACAGTTATGTATTATATACATTTGAGTATACCAAACATTAGGAACCGCTTCCTAATATTGAGTTGTACCAAACCCCTTTTGCCCTCAGAACAGCCTCAATTCATCAGGGCATGGACTCTACAAGGTGTCAACAAGTCCCGTGTGGCTCAATTGTTAGAGCATGGCGCTGGCAAAGCTAGGGTTGTGGGTTCGATTCCCATGGGGGACCAGTATGAAAATATATGCACTCACTACTGTAAGTCGCTCTGGATAAGAGTGTCTGCTAAATGACTGAAATGTGAAATATATAAATGTGTCAAGCATTCCACAGCGATGCTGGCCCATGTTGACACCAATGCTTCCCACAGTTGTGTCATTGGGTGGTGGCCCATTCTTGATACACACAAGAAACTGTTGAGTGTGAAAAAGCCAGCAGTGTTGCAGTTCTTGACACAAACCGGTGTGCCTGGCACCTACTACCATACCCCGTTCAAAGGCACATAAATCTTTCATCTTGCCCATTCACCCTCTGAATGGCACACATACACAATCCATGTTTCAATGGTCTCAATGCTTAGAAATCCTTCTTTAACCTGTCTCCTCCCCTTCATCTACACTGATTGAAGTGGATTTACCAAGTGACATCAATAAGGGATCATAGCTTTCACCTGGACTCACCTGGTCAGTCTATGTCATGGAATGTTCTTAATGTTTTGTGTACTCAGTGTATGTTGGAGTTTGTGGATTCCACTCTATGGGATCACTACTTCCATCTGCAAAATGTTGATCATGATGTTTATATTCATACTTCTGCTCTGCCCCATTATCTGCCTGTAATGTAGTACTGCATAAGAGCATATGCTAAATGACAATCAACTGCACCGAACTGCACTGAAGATCAAGATATCAACCCTCCAAGTTGTAAGCATCACTATCCAATCATGTATCATCAGATGCACAGTGTCCATATTAGGACAGAATCACACATCCATGGAAGTTGTGACAAGCTGACCAGAACATACCTGGTAGTGCCAGCATGGAGGGGTACTCTTTGCAGTCGGACACCCCCGTGGAGTCTGAGACACAGTCCTTCCAGAGGCTAGAGAAGTAGATGCCGGTGGTGAGCACCATGCTGCCCACTTCAGACCAGGTCCAGAACTCTATAGCCAGGGTGGAGCAAACCAGAATCCAGCCAGCCAGACACGACACAAAGCAGCCTATCTCCATATACATCATCACCGTCCTGTGCTTCATGATGATGGTGATAAGGAGGATGCTCTCCTTGAGCTTGGCAGTGGTTCCGAAAAAAATATATAAATGTATGAAGAGGATTTACCAGAGAAATGGGTGTAGTGAACAAAGCTGGAGTGAAGTTCCAGAGACACTAAGGGATCTTTGGTCATTGGAAGTCGAGGTGCAGCCAGACACTTGCATTGTTATGTCACTGATGCCTCCCAGTCAAGCCAGCATTGTGGAAGTTTGCCTTATCTCACAGGGTTTTGCTCAGTAAGCAAACTTCTATTTTCCCATGATCCAGGGGGAGATAGTATCAGGGATGGGGAGTGATGAAACTGGTTCCCACCCTCCCTCCCCTCATATGGGGGTTTGACTAGGTCTCCCTCTCATAGCCCTTTATCTCAAATCACAGTGGATGAACTGCTCCATCCCAGCTAAAGTCACAACATAATGATGCATGTAACTGATTCATATCAATATTTTCTGGACAAACTGATAATGATCTATGTAATGTAACCTATAGAGTAGAGCCGTGGAGAGTATCCTAAAGTAGATCTTTATTGAACAATTTGTTTTGCTACAATAATTAAAATACACTGCTCAAAAAAATAAAGGGTACACTAAAATAACACATCCTAAATCTGAATGAATTAAATAATCTTATTAAATACTTTTTTACATAGTTGAATGTGCTGACAACAAAATCACACAGAAATTATCAATGGAAATCAAATGTATCAACCCATGGAGGTCTGGATTTGGAGTCACACTCAAAATTAAAGTGGAAAACCACACTACAGGCTGATCCAACTTTGATGTAATGTCCTTAAAAGTCAAAATGAGGCTCAGTAGTGTGTGTGGCTTTCCACGTGCCTGTATGACCTCCCTACAACGCCTGGGCATGCTCCTGATGAGGTTGGCGGATGGTCTCCTGAGGGATTCCCTCCCAGACCTGGACTAAAGCATCCGCCAACTCCTGGACAGTCTGTGGTGCAACGTGGCGTTGGTGGATGGAGCGAGACATAATGTCCCAGATGTGCTCAGTTGGATTCAGGTCTGGGGAACGGGCGGGCCAGTCCATAGTATCAATGCCTTCCTCTTGCAGGAACTGCTGACACACTCCAGCCACATGAGGTCTAGCATTGTCTCGCATTAGGAGGAACCCAGGGCCAACCGCACCAGCATATGGTCTCACAAGGGGTCTGAGGATCTCATCTCGGTACCTAATGGCAGTCAGGCTACCTCTGGCGAGCACATGGAGGGCTGTGCGGCCCCCCAAAGAAATGCCACCCGACACCATGACTGACCCACCGCCAAACCGGTCATGCTGGAGGATGTTGCAGGGTGCAGAACGTTCTCCACGGCGTCTCCAGACTCTGTCACGTCTGTCACATGTGCTCAGTGTGAACCTGCTTTCATCTGTGAAGAGCACAGGGCGCCAGTGGCGAATTTGCCAATCTTGGTGTTCTCTGGCAAATGCTAGTTGAGAATTGTCTGGTGAGGGGTACCATGGGAGATGTGGAGGAGGGGGCCTATTCCATCCTGCTATAGAAATTATATTAAGCAAATTAAGATATATTCAGAAAACATGCACTAAAAGTTTACGCAAATCACAGTGTAGGCTGATAACTGAAATGTACTGAAAGAAGCATGCGTATGTGGTGATGTATGTAAATTATGCAGGTATGCTTATACTTGTACTGTACATTTAACCTTTTTGAATGGGCTACTGTGAATACAGTGGCAGAGAACAGAATGGTTCCTAATATGATGAGGAAGCCTCCCACTAGGCCAAGCCAAAGAGCAGTTCCAATGTCATACCTGAGTAGAGAAAATGTAGACGAAATACAGCTTGGCATTCCCATACAGTTTGATATTCCAACATCTTCCCTCTCAGATTGTTCTATTTGCGACATTACCCTAGTTTTGATGGGTCTGCTTTGGCGTGTAACAATGGCTGCTGCAACTGTGTTTATAAACAATAACTGGCGTCGTCTGAGACGCCTGCATGATGATGCGTCAGGGATCAGGAACCAATGACAAGGAAGAAAAACATGTTTATGGTCGGGATGAGGAAGTTTAAACCCTCTAAGGTATGGTGATTTGTATGTGTCCTGAAAAAGGAAAGTTACCGCCAATAAAATGGAGAGAGGCAGCTGTTAATAGCAGTTTGTCATTGGTTCTGTGGTTTCCTCCAATGTAAGTGCACTCCATTCCAACAAAGCCGAACACAGTTCCCACCAGCCCCAGGGCTAAACCAATCATCACAAGTCCCCTCACTCCCTGGATGTATGCTGTGTAACGCGTACAGACCTCATTGCTTTGGAGGCTAATCAATTACTGTAACAGTATGTACAAAATTAATCGAACCTAGCTTAGCCAAATAAAATATATTGCAACTATCATGTATCATTGTATTAGTCACTATGTATCACAGCTGTGTTAACCTGCCAATATGCTTTAATTAATTCAATTCAATTTAGAGAAAATGTTATATTAAGAGACACTGCACCCATAAGACTCCTGATTATTCCACACAGAGATACCAGATACCAGACGAGAGATTCCAGTACTCAACCCACGTTTCACCGTCCACAGAACCCCAAAGTCCACACAGTTGACCACAGCGGTGGAGTCCTCAGAGCAGTCTTTCCACAGGTAGGACCAGAACCAGGTCACTCTGACGATGGATGACCCACTCTGGCTGCCGACCTGGGCCACCCTCCAGTAGTCGATAGCCAGGGTGCAGGCCCACAAACACCCAGCCCAGCATGGACACCACGAGGCCCAGGATCTGAACCAACCTCCTCCACATTCCTCTGTCTGGACAGGTGGAGAGGATCGCTCACAGGGACTACAGAGTGTAAGTTACTGGAGCTATTACAAGGTTACTGATTTTATCCAATCTAGTCACGGAATTCACAAAAATGCATCCACTAAAAATGATTCCATATTTATTTAGAAGAGCACAAGATAGGAGCATCGGTCTGTCAGCTGTGCGGCATATCACTCTTGGTTTAAATAGGAAACAGTGCCCGGGCAGAATTGAGTGGCAACACCAAAAACAGAGACTGTTTACAGGCAACCTCCCTGACTGCTTTGGCAGGTATGACCGTGCCGACAATATCTAAAAGAGTTGGTGATTATTTATATATCTTAAAATATCTTGATTTTGATTAGACTACAGTTGAATAATTTGAAAATGGAGAACAAAACACAACACGGAGTCAGAGAGAGCTTGCTCAAAAGGTAGAAAGGCCCTGCTTTAATGACATTATCAATAGCAATACATGAAACAATGAATGTGATGAAGCAGTTTATTTGATGATCGTGAAACACTCTCAGGAAACAGGCCATTAGATACAGAGACTTTTCCCCACATACAGAATCACAATTGGATCATCATTGGGCTGTCAAACGATTCAAAAATGTAATCGAGTTAATCAAAGGATTTGTTGTGATTCATCGCAAATTCAGAAATTCAGAAATTGAGTTGTCCAAAGTATTTAGGATGTTTTCAGTGTATTTTGAAAGCTTTCAGACAATGCGATTAATCGCGATTAAAAAACATGAATGCACTAAAATTCAAAAAGTTAACTTGAGTTAAAGGATAGACTCTGACAGCTCTAATCATCATATACAGTATATACAATTGTTACGTCAGTTCGGTCCAGTCAAAATCCCACATACTATGCACAGAACCAGGTCATATGTAGGAGTTTTTGATAAACGGTTCTCTCTCGCTCCTCCTTCACCCACTGGATAAAGAGGACACTGTTCTATTGCTGCCGCTGCTCACCTCAGAGTGTATTGACCCATGGGACCTTGATGAACGACCAGACGTCAAAGACCCACCGTCAGATTTCGAGGACTGCCCGGAGTTCGAGGACCGTCCAGATCGCTCTGATTTGGACACGCGACCGGACTGAACAGACCTTGAGGAGATGGCAGACACATCTGAGTGTGCAGATTTTGAAGAAATCTTAGATGCAGATGCAACCTTGATCTTTGAGGTGATCTGGGATACTGGGGACTGTGCTGTGGTGGACTTGGCCTGGTCACACTCAACCTCGGGAAGTTCAGGGATGACTATAGTTTTGCTGGGAGAGATAACATACAATCAATGACAAGTGTTTTATGAATAAATCAATAACTATTCCATGATGAGTATGGCTATGCTTGTACTCACCTCTTGTCCTCACATAGCAGTTTGCACACAGAGACCAGGTAGAACCAACCCCCTGTCATATGGAAAGCTGATCCCACCCAGCCAAGAAACAGAGGAGTCCCCAGGTCAAACCTGTGTGTTAGAGGGAGGGAGGGAGGGAGGGAGGGAGGGAGGGAGGGAGAGCACATAAACATTATCTTGTAACTGAATGGAAAAACCTGCATCCAATTTATAAAAGTCAACTCACTTTAATCCATCAAAATAGGGGTTGAAGTATTCCCCAGAGACGTATTTTGCGTAGACAGCATATCCTGACGCAGCCAGTATGCCTGCAGAAGACGAAGTAAGTCAGTCAGCTACTCTCAATCTGCTACAGTGTGCATCTACCAGGTTGTTTTCACAGAGGGAGAAGTCAACTGAAAGAACATGTTTACCGCTAATGATGTGACAGACTCCTCCAGTGAAGATCTTCCTGTACTTAGCATTGTCCTTGCCCCCGAGGAAGGTGCACTCCATCCCAATGAGACTGAGTACGAACCCCAGCATCCCCAAAGACAGAGCACCCATCAGCAGGCCCCTCACAATCTGGATGTGGTCTGGTTGATAAGAACACAACCATACGCAAGGTCACATTTTACACTACAGTAGGCTTTATAACTTCAGTGGAATAACCAATGTCACTGTACTGAAACAGTCTAAACTCACAGAAGTTTGTCTGCATTGCTTTAAAGGGTACAGTAATAGTCACATTTGTACAGAATTTGTTTTAAACCCTATTTTTTGGGGGGGGTAAAATAAATTAACTTAACAAGACTGTCTTCAGATGTGTCCCTCTTGTTGATATACAACTTCATATCCACCATAGAAATAGAAGTAGAACACAGTATATTATGCATATCTCTATGGTACTTACTGTCCACGGACCAGAGCACAGGGAAGTCTTGGCAGTTGGTGACAGAAGTGGAGTCAGTGAAGCAGGCCTTCCACAGGTTAGACCAGTACCAGGCCACCTTGATGACAGCCGAGCCGCCCATGCCCCCGATGGACGTGATCTTCCAGCCCTCCATGGCGATAGAGCACGCCACAAAGATCCAGCCCAGCACTGTCATCAGGAAGCCCCAGATCTGCATCACGCGGATTTTCATCCTGATACTCTGGTGTGTGGAGTCAGTCTATATGCTCTATATCTAGATAACCCTCAAGTTGTCTTATTATGACTGTCTCTTATTATTATGTCTCTGTTGTGTTTCTTTTCTCAAGATCTGACTTATTGGGGATTCCTTTTTCTCTCGTCTATACAATGGTGTGTCTCCTTGGTGGAGCAACCATACAGTGGCGTCTGAGTCTCCTGCTGTGCTGTGATGTGATAGAGAAGAAACCTGCTCATCCCAGTCAGACAGTTTGGTAGCAGGGCTCAGTATGACTAACGAGACAGTCATGTTGTCACTCTACCTGGTTATCACTTTTCCCATACTGCATGAGGGTGGATATGGGTGAGTCTGTTGCTGCTGAGGTTCCCAGAACCTTGTTTGGGTGCTAAAAATGTTCACCTAAGCGTTTATCTCAGGTTTCAAAAACATCCATCTCTATGTCCCAAGCTGATTCCGTGGGTTTTGATTTTATTTGACTAATTCTGAAAACATTTATTCTAATGACATAAACATTACCTGGTATGGCCCAATGCCTAGGGCAAAACCTTGACCTCATCTCAATATATATACAGTAATGATCTGACCTTAACTAGTTCAATAAGAATTCATTACCTGAGGAATTACAACTTCAGAGTCCGTTGAAGCGCTTCCATTGTCCGTTGACATTGCCTCGGGCTGCGGTAGGTTATTAGCTAGGTGTGCTGCCTGCTTTACTTATATAATTAAAACATAACGTCTTTGAGCTCATATAATTAGGCTCTCTCTGATGGTATTAGTTGCATGGGGAGTGATGGATTTTCTTGTGGTGAGTGAAGATGAGAAGGGTCTTCTTTGTACCGAGTCCCTCGGCTTATTGGCAAAGTTACTGGCAAAGTAGATGGGACATTGGTACGGACGCACTGTTGTGATGCCTGGACCTATACGGTGGTGATTCAGGCTGTGTCATGCTTTTAATTAGTGAAGGGCTAATAACAGAGAAAGAACAAAAGCGCTGTTGTGTTCACTTGCAGGGCCTCACGTTAATTATGGGTTGTTAAGAACAAATACCTGCTGTATAATAAACTACAATATCATTTAAGAAATATTAAGTAAGATTCCATTCAAAGATGATGCATACACAGAACATTGTTTGAATTTCTCTGTCAATAGTTTCATTCTATGGTCCTGTAAATAAAGTATAGATATACTGCTCTCTGGTGGTGTCTTGTTGAAATACAACCAAACTGTGCCTCAAGCGCAGTCAAAATCAGACTCAACTTGTGTATTTTGTGCAGAAAAGTACTTTGTTTTGAATGTTTAAAAGTAGTATAATTGTCCATAATGGATTTTCTGGCACAAACAAACTGCTGTAAATTTGGCAGAAATAAACTGCTTTTGGGGCAAGGATTCTGCTTGTGGCCTTCATTTTTGAATTTAGAATCTGATGTAACAAAATAAATATTATTTATGGATGCTTGTGAATCATGTGAGCCTTCTGATGCTTCAATCCATACAAATGAGGAATCTTAGACTTATTGCATACAATAAAAACAGTATTTTTTATGTGGTGCATTCATCTCTTGATTCATTCTGAAAAATATGGACATCAAAATGTGAAATCACTCACCATTATTGATTTTGTCTATAGATGCCTGGTTATGTTTTCCCCTCATCCAGACATAATAGTGTAGTCAGAGTAGGTCCTCTGACCATCCATCCAGAGCTGTGGGACACCCGACACCTGTTTACGGATGCACAGGACTGGAACATGGAGCACGGGGTGGCTGCCAGCTGTAGCTCCATGCCAGCTGGTGAGAGTCTCCCGGCTCGGAGGGCCAAGAGGATTTACGTAACAGGGTTAAGGTTTCCATTGATCAGAAGGTGGAGATAGATGGCAGACGGTGGGGGAAACTTCCGATTCCCATATCCGAGTCTGAACAAAGATCAACTGGGGCAGGCCTGCTGTTGATTGGTAACTCTGTGATCAGTCGAGACAACGGAAGCCCCTTTCTGTCTGTGGTGGCTGGTAGGGGGCCATCTTTCAGTGTGAGGTATATTGCAAAAATACAAGAACTTGACAGTTCTTGAGAGCACACAATGCTCTCTATTGACTCTTCCTTCATCTAGGCTTCACTTGTGGTCTGCTAAAGAGTGACAGCATATGGCAGACATGCATTGGGTCCACACTTGAGTTCCAGAGGTAGTTGTCATGAGGTACTCATACAGAGGTCTATGTCAAAGTGATAAACCCACCAATTAAAAAGTCCACTTATTCAATCCCCATTTTCTTTATACTTAATTAATGTTCTTTCAACAGATCATTCAGAGAAAATTATCACTGAATTCCTTCTTGTTTGCAAAAAAAAATGTTTATTGACATTGCCACTGATTACAACATATTGGGAGATGTATAGGAATTAACCAATTTAGTTAAATTTAGTTTTTAGATGATCTCAAACAGACACATATTCCTGATATTTGTTCTTGAGGCATATCTAATGAACAACAATGGATTTGGAACAGTACCAGTTAGTTTGTCCCTTCAAGGTGACCCAGGAGTTTAAATTGTGATCCTAGCCAAACCGAATTTCCTGCCCTGCGAAGAAAACAAGTTTATCTGATTTATTTTGTTGATAGCCCGTTGACAGAAGAGACCTATTACCTAATGTGGTTTTAGAGAGGAGCCAACAGCTTGCCTATTTCCTCTTGCTGATTTCAAGGGTTATTTCCACCAGCATTGTTTGTGCCACAGGGGGTGACATCATTCAAGTAGTCAGGTAAACAGCTGAGGCACAGGGACAGTAAGGACAGTCTCCTTTGGCAGAGAAGATATCAAAAACGATGTTCTATGTACAGTGCATTGGAAAGAAGTGCCATATTAAGGAAAATAAAAGCAGGTAGCATGCATCACACCCTTAGGTAATGTAATCCCACAGGAATCCGTCTCAATAAGGAATTGGGGTTCTGGTTGAAGAGGTATGAAAAGGTGACCTCATCAAGCTTAGTCCAAGGGTCAAATAGTCCATGGTCACCTCATATGACCATATGGCAATGCCAGTGATCCGTCCATTGTCACACATAGGCGTTCTTTCCAAACTGCCTTGAGTGTTCTGCTGGGTCTCGGGGGTCTGTGGAAACTGGCGATTTGTAGAAACTGTTGGCAGACTTGCTGGGTTTGTGACGCTTGGTTACCATAGACGTAGCGCCACTGTAGGAGTACTCTGCTCGACTAGAGGAAAACACTAAGGGTTACTCTTTTGAGATATACAGTGTCCTCATTCCATTTCCATGGTGAAAACAATTCTAGTTCAGAAGACTAGAGAAGTCTCTGGATCTAGGGCAATTGTAGTCACGGTTATAGAAGAAGTCTGTTACCTCATCCCACCCCATACACCAGTTCCCTAGGCCCCCCACCCAAGGTGACTTTCACATAAATACATTGATACTATACACAAAGAAAACATTCAGTCATCAACATACAGTACATGTCCTTATACTGTTATCACTATGAGACAAGATGTTGACAGTGATCCCTTGATATCCCAGTACTTAAACAACTTAATTACAGTTCATATTAAACTGCTTCATTGACTTACTGAGTGACAAGCTTTACGATCTGTGTACTCTATTATGGATAACTTTAGATTTCTGTATCTCAGTCGACATGATGTTGAGAAATGTACAGTACTTACAGATTACACAACATATCTATCAAAGTAATCATTTTCTGTAATTGATCATCATTTAATGAATTGTAGACACAAACAAACTTGCCTGAAGCCCTCTGACAAGGAGAGGCAGAAGATAAGTCCCCCTAAAATGCAGAGCACAGAGCCAGCCCAGCCGATGAAGAGCGCTGCGCCCAGTTCAAACCTGGCAACGAGAGGACGGGCATAGCCAGTAAAGCCAGTGACCAGTTAATAAATACATGTGCTCACTGCATTTCATTTGTTGACATGCAGTACAGTAGGACATTAAGTAGCACAGTTAAGCTGAACACTTACTTTTGAGCAAAAAAGAGTGGGTCAAAGAACTCTGATGTGATCCTGTGTGCGTACAGGGAGCATGCAGTCAAGGAGCAGAGCCCTGCAGAGAAAACAGAGAGGACTCAGCTCTGGTCTAAATAGCAAGGAGTAGTTCAAAAAGCATACAATATCATTAATATTCACCATTGAGTATGAAGTGAAGGCCTGAGAGGCCTGCTAGTCTGGCCTTGGTGGTCTCTGAGCCTCCGATCCTAGTACACTTCATTCCAATCAGGGCCAGGGTGGCTCCAAAGAACCCCAGGCACACAGACGCGATCATCAGGCCCCGACACACCTGGATATATGCTGGGTGGGTGCGTGCGTGTGTGCGTGCGTGTATGGGGGTGTGTGCGTGTGTGTGTGTGTGTGTGTGTGTGTGGTGCGTGTGTGTGTGAGGGAGAGAGCGAGAGATAAAGAGACAGAAACACTGAGTTATCTCACACTTGTAAAAGTGCTCTGACTTTCTCAATTTTCCTCTTATTGCCACTGTAAAAGCATTGTATCCTCAAATGGCAGCTTGAACACCCGGTTCAAATGCTGCTCTGGCCTTTGGTAGTATATGTTTTAGAGGCTCTTGGGCTTAATCCGACAAACCAATAGGGATATCAAATTCCAAATACCACTTTTTTCAAAGCCAGCCATTCATCCCAAGAGGACGGATGCTCAAGATGTAAGACATCTGTGATTAGGTCAAAGAAATCACACACACACATACCTCCATTACAATCCCAAACAGACACACACACGCATGCGCACACACACACAAGCACACACACACACACACACAAAAATACACCTAATCACATACAATTACAACTATACAACAGCACAACAAAAATAGCAATCAGCTCAAGTTTGAACTGACCATCCAGAGCCAGCATAGAGGGGAAATCTTTACAGTTTGACACTCCTGTAGAATCGGTGACGCAGGTCTTCCACAGGTTGGACCAGAAGGTTGCGGTGGTGATGACCGTCCCATCCACGGAGGACACCTTCCAGTAGTCAGTAGGCAACGTGGAGCAGACCAGGATCCATCCAGATATGGTCAGGATGAAGGCAACGATCTCCATGGCCATGTTGCTCATCTTCCTCAGAGAGTTCTGTCCTAACTCTTCTAGAGCTGGGTCAGGTAAGCTGGTAAGCAGCAGTTGTGGCAGATGAGGCTGTATGTCTGTGGAGCTAAGGATAGTGGATGGAGAGCAGAGCAGAGAGCCAGTCCAGGATGAATGATTAGGAGAGAAGTGTGTCAGTGGTTAAGATGTCGTAGCCTGGTTTATGCTCAACAGGGAGGGCTCTGTGTTCAAGCCTCTGCACCTCTACCTTTGGACCAATCCCAAGGATACACATCACTCACTGACACACACACTGACACACACACACACTGAGTCAAACACACACACAAAGACACATCCGCTCTCTCTCACACGCATACCCACCCACCCACCCATCCACGCACACACACACACACACCACGTCACTCCACAGTAGTCATTTGAGTGAGAGGAGGGGGGGTCAGGGAGTGGATCAGTAGGAGATGGGGCTAATTGAAAGGATTTGAAATGTGTGTTAGTGGACAGGAAACAGGGCTAAGACACTGACATGTGTATGACAGAAAAATGGACAATAAGCAACTGTTCAACATATAGATAGAGAAAGACTGTTGTCCACTCGTTGCAAAGGTTCGTTTCACATGCTATAAATGTTTCATACATGTGTTATAAATGTTGCAGTTATCTGGTGTTCAGTAGGCCTATCTGTTGACTCATAGCCCCACCCAGTGGAGAGAAAATAGTAAATATTAATGCAACCACATGGGGGTGTACTGAGCCATGATGCAAACACTTCAGTAGGAGGGTTTCCTCTTACTTTATCTGAAAATATCCAGATCAGACTAACACAGGATTGGTGAAAGCCATGGGCAAGTATTCACCAGTTCATTTCTTTCACATCAGTGCAGATGGAAGGAAAGTCAAGGTTGTTTCTGGATGTTGAAAATTTCAGCAAAGGCCAACATGTCTTGACATGTTTGTTTATTTTTGCTGCAGAAACGTTTTTTCCTGTGGATAGGGGGGGTTTGGCTGTGGGACATGAAACAAGGGAATAACAGTGAGGGGGGGAGAGAGAGAGGAGAGAGAGCGGAGACGAGAGAGTGAGAGAGAGAGGGAGAGATAGAGAAGAGCTACTATATCTCTCAGGATGAGAGAGATCTATCAACAAAGCGCTAGATGTTGCTCTGAGAGAGAGATATTCTGAGAGACTCATCTTGTAGAGTCGCACGGTGCTTGTAACGCCAAGGTAGTGGGTTTGATCCCCCGGGACCACCCATACACAAAAATGTATGCACGCATGACTGTAAGTCGCTTTGGATAAAAGCGTCTGCTAAATGGCATATTATTATGTATTATTAGAAGAGAGAGAGAGAGAGATCACACATATTGTCCTTAGTTTCCTGTTATTGTGGCTGTGTCTTCCTGTGGCCGGTTACATATTGACCAGAAACTCTAAGTCCAGTTTTATATCAAAGACCAACCAGAATGACAGTAAAATCTCAATCAGTTTTTTATTTGACCACGTTTTCCAAAAACTGTTAAATGTCTACTCCGAATTAAGATTCAAATATGTCTGTAGAAAGAATCAGCTTTGATATGACATCTAAATTTGAAAAAAAATCTATTTTGGTTATTGAACTACAGTAAGTGAAGTGGATTAACACCCGGTAACAGAACGATGGTAACAGAATGACATTATGGGTCCCTGATCTGTACTATACAGAAATGCATAATTATGAATGTCATTCTATTCATGGTGATGTATCCTGAATAGGTACACAAAGGTAGAAAAATGTAATGTCCGCATGTTTGGTTATTATTCTACACACTGGCTCCGCCCCCAAACAAGACCAAATTTGGTTGTGCCGGACCAAATCTGTACCAATCATAGATGTCTATGTTTCATAAGTTTGGACATCACAGTAGAGCACAGTAGAGTACAGTACAGCACAGCAGAGTAGAGTACAGTAGAGTAGAATAGAGTTCAGTAAAGTACAGTATAATTAAATACAGTAGGCCTACAGTAAAGTACAGTAGAGTAGAGTAAATTATACTGTACTCTACTCTAGTGTGCACTACTCTAATGTCCTGTACTGTACTAAACTCTACTTTAATCTACTGTACTGTGCTGTACTGTACTGTATTGTACTAACCTATACTTTAATCTACTGTACTGTACTGTATTGTACTAACCTATACTTTAATCTACTGTACTCTACTGTATTGTACTAACCTGTACTTTAATATACTGTACTGTACTGTATTGTACTAACCTATACTTTAATCTACTGTACTGTACTGTATTGTACTAACATATACTTTAATCTACTGTACTGTATTGTACTAACCTATACTTTAATCTACTGTACTGTACTGTATTGTACTTACCTATACTTTAATCTACTGTACTGTATTGTACTAACCTATACTCTACTCTATTGTTCTTTACTGTACTGTGCTGTCCAAACTTGTGAAACAGACATCTATGATTGGTTCAGATTTGGACTGACCAAATTTCAACTACTTTTCGAACCTCCCTGGACGTCCGGTGTCAGTCGGTGATCAGTGGGTGATCAGTGGGTGAAAGGGCTAGTTACAGTAAATGGAAAGAGAGGGGGCTCATGGATAGGTGTGAGTTGAACATACTGTAACAGTATGCCAGTGGAAGGGAGGATAGTAGCAGATGACCCAACTGTGGTTTGTGACTACTATGAAGTCCCATTGTAGCCAATTCAATAGCAGTCATTCTGTTACAGATTTTTTAGCCATTCTGTTATTGATTTGGTAATAATACCGCTTTTTAATCACTTAAATCATAAACCAAATTGATATCAGTAAAACACTAACTAATTGGTAGGTCTACCTTTCCTTGTTACTTCTGGGAACTTTCATTATCCTCCCTCCTCATGAGGGAGAGAAATTAGAAAATATCTTTAAGATGTGTGGGTTTGTGGTAACAGAATGACAAGACACTAGGCAATATTTCTTAAACTTACAGAAGGCAAATAATCTCTGCAAAACTAAATATAAATGTTGATATTATATATTTATTTTTTAACATGGAAATGCCCTGCTGTAGAAATTGCCCTGTCATACCACAGAGAGAGAGAGAGAGAGAGAGAGAGAGAGGCTATGTGCACACTGCCCACAAAATGAGGTGGAAACTGAGCTGCACTTCCTAACCTCCTGCCAAATGTATGACCATATTAGAGACACATATTTCCCTCAGATTACAGCGACCCACAAAGAATTCGAAAACAAACCCAATTTAGATAAACTCCCTTATCTACTGGGTGAAAAACCACAGTGTGCCATCACAGCTGCAATATTTGTGACCTGTTGCCACAAGAAAAGGGCAACCAGTGAAGAACAAACACCATTGTAAATACAACCCATATTTATGTTTATTTATTTTCCCATTTGTACTTTAACTATTTGCACATTGTTACAACACTGTATATATACATTATATGACATTTGAAATGTCTTTATTCTTTTGAAACTTCTGAGTGTAATGTTTACTGTTAATATTTATTGTTTATTTCACTTTTGTTTACTATCTACTTCCCTTGCTTTGGCAATGTTAACACACGTTTACCATGCCAATAAAGCCCTTAAATTGAATTGAATTGAATTGAGAGAGAGAGAGAGAGAGAGAGAGAGAGAGAGAGAGAGAGAGAGAGAGAGAGAGAGAGAGAGAGCCATGTCATCACAGTGTTCTGTTATTGTGGTGGGTCTTCCTGTGGCTGGTTACATATTGACCAGAAACTGTAAGTCCAGTTTTACATCAAAGAGCAGTTATTTATTCTAGGACCTGATGGAATAGCTCCTGTAGAAATTGTCATGTCATACCACTTTCAGCAACCCGTTTGAATGACTCATCCCACTGCTATTACACTGTTGAACAGCAATTCATAAGTTGACTCAGTAAATAGAAGAAATGTTGCTGGGGCAATTCAATTAAAGGCACTGCATTTTCGCCAAAGGGAACTTCAGGTGTACAGAAACACACAATAGGTTACACATGCCATTGCAGATTTAACAGCAACACAAGTAGGTGAGAGGTTGCTAACAAAGATAGCTACAGTAAGTGCAGAATAGAGGAGATTTTCTATTTTGTGCCCTGGCTAGTTTCTGTTTTGAGAGTTACTAGCTCCTCTGAACAGTCACTATTGTGGGCTAATTTCCCTCTTTGTATCAATAACTAGAGCCAGTCAAATAGAATAATAAATTAAAGCTGAAATTGAGATGTGAGTTGAACCTGTGAAGAGTGAGTCCGTCTCTCAAGAAAACCATTTACACTAAACTATTACAGAGGGCGATGCATTGACCATGTTCACCTTTATAAACAAGGTGAGGTGAGGATGTGGTGTGTGGATCATTACAAAAACCTGATAATAGTGTTTAGGCTTAATCTGTGGCTAGGAAACCAGCCCATAAGGGATAACTTCATTCAGAAAAGTGTCAAATAAAAAACAAGGTGAACATAATCTGTTTTTAATAGTGTGATCCTACGGTTGACAGAATGCCACTTCACTTTCCTACCATTAGTATACTGTGTTGTAGACATTACAAAGGTCAGTGGATTTCCATTGAGGTCACACATTCTGACCCCTAAATAGTGGGTCCAAAGGCACAGGTTATGGGTAGGTTATATATGTGGGATGAGAGAGAGAGAGAGAGAGAGAGAGAGAGAGAGAGAGAGAGAGAGAGAGAGAGAGAGAGAGAGAGAGAGAGAGAGAGAGAGAGAGAGAGTGAGTGAGTGTACCTCACCCAGAGTAGTGAGCAGAGTTGAGCGGTCAGAAATCGCAAAAAATATAATAATCCAAATTCGCTCCAATCATTAAAATCACAATTTAACCAACACCCATCAATTGTTGTGACTACCTGGACCTACTATTTAGACTACATGTCATATTACACAGCACATAAACACTCTACATAGGTCAGAAGCCAGACAGGGAGCCTAAGAAGGACCGAAAATTAATTGTTTTTGTGACTACCTGGACCTACCATTTGGTTTTGAATTATTGAAACCAAACTATATGATTTGAATGAAAAGTATTATAATAAACATGAAAAGGTGAATGTAAGAAGCGCTCATCATTTCAAATAGGCTACATGTCATA